GGAAGAAGATGGAAAGCGGTCATGGGGAGAGGAGGGGGCACCTACCCCTTAGGGATACCTTCCCCAGGGCCAGAAAAGAATGGTTGACTCGGGTCTTCGTGGCTAATAGCCAGCATTTCTACAGCCCATTGAGGTTTGTAAGCATTTAACATAGGCTACCTAATTTGATCCTCAGCAACTATGTGAGGTAGCTGCTGTTATTATCTCCTTTTTCTGGTGGGGAAACTGAGGACAAGATAAGTTAAGTGACTTGTCAAGGGTCACATAACTAGTAATCCTCTAAGGGAGAATTTAAACTCAGGTCTTGCTGACTCCAGGTCCCCCACTATCCATTGTATGGTCAAGCTAGCTGCCTCACTAGGCTCACAGATTTAGAGCTGGAAAGGACCTTAGAGACTGTCATTCAATCTCCTCATTTTACAAACAGGGAAACTGAGGTTCAGGGAAGTTAAATAACTCAGCCAACCTTACACAGGTAGTAGGGGCAGGCCAGGACTCCGAATTCCGTGACGTTCCACTGTACCACACCACCATAGACAAAAAGGGGATGAGACCTGTAGAATGGAAAAAAAAAATCAGCAAATGTTATTAAGCACTGTGCCAGGCACTGCGCTAAGAGGTGGGGATACAATAAAGAAGAAAACATGGGAAAGAGGTGCTTTGGATTAGGGGTGGGCAGGAAAGAGTGCCAGGAAGATTGGGGGGAGGCGTACTCTCCCCGCTTGGCACAGGAGGGCACCCTTATTGGTGGGTCACAGAGCTCTGAGATTGTGCTTTGATTTTCTTGGCCACTGAAATGCATCAGACCCAATCAGAAGGCTGCCCATATCAGCAGCGGCCAGCCTTACCAAGGGATGCCTGGTCCACTCTCCCTTCCCCACTCCCACTACTGACCTCACTGGCTTCCTTTCAGTCCCAACTAAAATCCTACCTCCTCCAGGAAACCTTCCCTAAGGCCTCTAAGTCCCTGTGCCTCTCCTCTGTTAATTTTCTCCTATTCATCCTGTAGATAGGCTACTTTGTGCATGTTTGCTTGTATGTTGTTTTCCCTATTAGGTTGTAAGCTCCTTGAGGGCAGGGGCTGTCTTTGGTCTCTTTTTATATCCCTGGCCCATAGTAGGTGCTTAATAAATGTTTAAGGACGGATTGGTTGATCAATGTCTAGGCCCTGCCCTTGGCACTGGGGAGGCAAAGACAAGTAGAAATGACAAACACCCCTGTGCGCTGGTGAAATCTGCATGCCAAGGACATGCTGTTGTTTTTGGTCCTATCTTCAAAGCATTTCAAAGGCTAGGTCTCAAGCTTTTAAAAAGTAGAACGAATCTTTCCATGCTACAATAAGGAAAAATGGTAGATTTGGAGCTAGAAACAGGTGTTTACATCCCAGCTCAGCTTGACACCTTTCCTGTATGACCTTGAGCAAATCAGTTCATCTCGCAGGGCCTCAGTTTCCCTCTCTGTAAAGTGAAGGCAGTTGGATCAGGGGGCCTCTGAGGTCCCTTCCTATGATCCCACTCCTGTGATATATCTCCTGTGACCCCATGGACCCTCAACAAAGGGCTTTGTAAGTAATTTTAAAACCATCCAAAAAGTGGGAAGGAAACAATTGGATTTCAGGTTAGAGCAGGAGTTTTTAACTTTGTGTGATAGAGCCCTTTGGCAGCAGGATGAAGATTATGAACCCTCTTCTCAGGAAAAAAAAAATGTTTCTAAATGCACAAAATAAAATAGAAACCAGTTATATTAAAATATAGTTATCAAAATATTTGGGGGGAAAAAACCTCACCCTAAGCTCCTCAGACATTTAGAACCCCTGGGTTAGAGAAAAAAGTGAGCAAAGAGGAGGTCAAAACTCTTTACAAATGGAACCTTGAGAAGGAGAATGCGTTCTGCCCGTTCCCTCCCTGGCATTGTGAGTAACGGCAGACTGTGATCTGGACCCAGAAGTCTGGCCTTCTTGCGCAATGCCATCTCCAGAGAGGAAGTGAGTGATTCCCACTGATCCCATGGGCCCAGTTGGGGTGAAGGTGGTTTATCTCTCCATCTGGAATGTGAGGCTGAGTTCGGAGATTAGCCTTCTCTGCCTTCATCTTCTGAGTCAGAGGCCCCTGACATTGTTGCCGTTGAGAGGCGTTTGCTTTCATGTTTGGAGACTTGCAAATATTTTCGTTTGGTTGTTTTTGCTTTGGGTTCTCTCCTTACCCTCAACCCGCCCCCTTGAACTGGATGAATAAATAAAGACAATTTCAAAACCAGGAAAAATTCATTCTGAGGTTTGAGCTGAGGAGAATCTGGAACAAAATGGAGAAATCTACTGAAGACACTAACCCTCTGAGCTGATGGAAATTAGGTCTGTGAAAACTTTCCGAGCCAGGCGTGGTATTCTTGGAGCCGTCTAGGGACAGCCCAGCTAAGCTGGGCTGGGTGAGGCCAGGGCTCTGTAACCTCCCAGGCTGGGGCCGCTGGCTGGCCGGCCACTGTCTGCATTTGACCCTGGCGCCACTTTGGTGGGAGGAGGTATTCAGGGGGCGTGAGCATATGCCAGCTGTCTCATGCCCACATAGGGATGCATGTGTGTAGGGGGTGGGCAGGGGGAGCATTTGGAACGTGTGACTGTGATGTTAAAGATAGAAGGTTGGAAGAAGGGCCACCAGAGCTCAGCGGCAGTTGAGCCGGCCCAGGAAGCTACAAGTCTGAGTAAGCTGGAAGAGACCCCTCATTTTATGGCCAGGAGACAGGAAGGGACTTGGACATAGGGTCATACATTTAGAGCTAGAACACAACTAGTAGTTATTTGAGGCCGGGTTTGAACTTAGGTCTTCCTGGACTTATAGTCTAAATCCTGGAGTCTTCCCACCAGTGTTGAGTTTTCACCTGACCCTAGAACAGTAGGCTGAAACAAGTAGGCTCCTTCCTGGCCCTGGGCATGGCAGTGGAGCCCCAGATACTCACCTTTCCCTTTAACTCAAGGCAGGCCAACATAAGCCTGTCAAAAGTAAAATCGTTAGAGAAACTAAAACAGCATATTTCACTTCAGCAGACAGTAGGGCCAAGGCACCATGTTGGCTGTTCAGGTTATAAAGTTGTAAACAGCACGGGCCCTGCCCTCCAGGAGCCAACGTTCTTTCGGAAGGCAGTGCATGATTGCTGGTGAAATAAGCCGGCCCAGATAGAGTTCAGAGAAGCGACTAATGGAGAGTCAGGGTGGTGTAGTGAGGGGGCAGAGCCTCAGACACTTACTGTTTCATCTATGACCCTGGGCAAGCCCCTTCCTCTCCTGGCCTCAGTTAATTCATCCCATTCACCTCTAGCTCTGTGCTACTACGATTCTGGAGAGATCTGACCTGAGATTCTGACTCTGGACTGTCTTACTAGCTCTGTGTGTGTGTGTGTGTGTGTGTGTGTGTGTGTGTGTGTGTGAGAGAGAGAGAGAGAGAGAGAGAGAGAGAGAGAGAGAGAGAGAGAGAGAGACGGAGAGCACCATAGGGGAAGAGGGGAGATGCCGCTAGAGCTTGGGGGAGGTTTGGTTTGCTGGGACTCAGCTTTCAGATCTTTGGAGAGGAGTGAAAAGAAGGTTCAGACAGGTGGAGTCACTGGCCTGGGTCACACAGCTCAGAAGGGTCTGACCTCCAGAGTCCCTTCCAGCCTGAGAGCTCTGCTCCCACTCTCTCCTTCTTCCCTCCAGGGTCTGCCTGGGGGCCTTTTTTGCTGCTGCACCCAGAGCAGCCAAATTACTGGCCAGCTCTTCAATAGCCCTGGGCTCTGGGGGAAGAGAAATGTTGAATCAGCTGCAGTCTCTGACCTCCTGGAGCTCACAGACCACTGAGAAGTCACTTCTACTTACTGCTTCTCATCTCACCCCCTTTCTCTTCCCAAGACCAAGAAGGGAAAGGGGAGGAGGGAGGGCATCTCAGGCATGGGGGGGGGGGGACCGCTCAAGACTTCACTCTGAGTGGCAAGGTTTTATTATAACACTACTTAGGTGGGCAAGATTCCTAGTAAATCTGCAAATTGGATGGGGATGGGACTGATACTTATATACAAAAAAAGACTCTGAGAAGATCTGGATGGGATTAAGGAGTAGCAGATAGCCTGGGGTGGGCCAGGTGCAGACAGTGAAAGGAGTTAAGTGGTTGGAGAGCTACAGTGAAAGGGCAGTTGAAAGGATTATTGAGTATCTAGGTAGACTGGGATGGACCAGATGCCTCAGATGAAATGCCCATGTGGGGTCTAAGCTTTTAGAGGTCTAAGTCCCAAAGGTCTTTTCCTTTTAGGAGCCCAGCACTTACCAGAAGTAACCTTAAAGCTCATCTTGTCCAGTCTCCCCCCCTTTTATAGGTGAACCTGATTTACTTATTAATGATTTAAAGTCATTTTGTAATGAGTGAGGAACAGAGGAACACAACCTCTGCCCAGAAAGCAAGATGGCAGCATAGTGGAGAGCCAAGTCAACAAGCATTTATTAAGTGCCTACTACGTGCCAGGCAGATACAATTGAGAAAACCTTGATTCAGATCTCATCTCAGACACTTATTAGCTGTGTGATTCTGAGGAAATGGCTTAACTTCTCTCTGCCTCAGTTTCCCCATTAGTAAAATGGAGATAATAATAACAACACCTACCTCTTTTTGTGATCTAAAGTATGAAAACATTTCCAGTTTATTCCAAATGGAAATTATCATTAAAGGCAAGAGAGAAAAAAACATTGTGTACCCCCGTGGTACGAAAGCTGAAGTGGTGATTAAAAAAAAAAAGAACACCAACCTCAAAGCCTTCCATTTCATAGAGCTGCAGGGGCCTCAGAGGCTATCTGTAGTCTTTAATAAGTTCCAAAGTATTTTATTTTCACATATATTATCTTGTTTGTCCCTGTGAGAGAATGTGAAGGGATTGGAGGTAGGGGTGTGGGGAATCTGAAGCTGTGATTTCATCTCTGGGAGGGGATCCCAGGGTGGAAACTCCCTTCAGCAATACTGATCAGCTTCCTTCTGTAACTTAGTCTTAGCTACTGTTGAAGTGAGAGCTCAGGATCACGCATCCAGCCCATGTCAGAGGCAGCATTTGAACCCAGGTTCCTGACCACAAGGTAGGCCCTTTGTCTACTATACTACCACTCTAAAGGGATTATTCACATGTTGTAGATGAGGAAACTGAGAATCAGGGGTCTTTGCTTCGCCATAGGACCCCCGAAGTTCTCCACCTTTGACAGCAGTCTGATGAAGAAAAGGCTCCTTCTCAGAGTCATGTTTTTAAATGCATAAAATAAAATACATAGAATTAGGAGGGAAGCCAGTTATTTTCATATCAGAATGATAAAAATGAAAACCTAACCCCAGGGGAAAGCTTAAGAAATGTTGTGAGCTGACTCTAAATAATCAGCCTGAGAGCCAGAGGCCTGCTTGTTCTTTCTCTTTTTGGTTTCTTCTCTCATGTTTGGTTTGGTTTGGGTCTTTTTTGGAGGAGGGAGTTTGAGTGAATTTGTGTATCTGGATGCAGACAAACTTCCCTGGCTGAGAGCAGAGGGAAGAGTGGGGTTCAGGGCCTGGGGTGATGGAGGACTTCAGTAAGGTTGGGTAGGGCGGGATTTGGGGATCTGGGGCCCAGAGGGGACCAAACTCCAAAGAAGTCGCTGGTCATCCCCAGGCATTATAAGGCAGCATGCCTCTTGTCTCCTGATAGCAAGAAGCAAGTATTTCTTTGGAAAAATAATGCAGATCCACACCTTCTCCACTTGAATGCCAACTGTGCTGCTTGAGCCCCCCCCCCACCAAGGCCCCATGATTCCTGAGCTTCACCTAGGAACAAGAGGCAGCTTGGGTCTACAGTGGGAATTCTTAACCTGGGAGTCTACAAACCCTTTTCTAGCCACTGTGAAGCCCTCCAGTGAGTGAGAACCCCCTGCCTCTAGAGGCAGCCTCTTCCACTCTGGAACAGCCCTAGGGAGAGTCAGGGCGTGAGGCAGCCAGCAAAGGAGTGACCTGGCTCCCCATGAAAGCCTACTGGATGTTTACCTTGAACACCTGGCTGCCTCCAGGCAGAACAATGCAGAGTCTCTGGTCAGCCTGTAACTAATGTGGGATCTTCCTTGCCTGAGACTCTCTGCAGCCCCCACTGAGTCTCACCGAGTCTGTTATATGTAGCCTAAGTTAGCTCTCCGTCCCACTCCCTTCATCAGTCTCCTAACTTTGTGCCTCCGCTATTGGGTCTTTTCCGTCTTCTCGAGAGTGTATGTCATTCTGCTGTGCCCCCCTCAAATGAGGACGGTGTCTGTCTGTGGTCTGGCTCTTCCCCTTTACAAGAAATAAAAATGCGTTGTCCCCATGAGGAATGCAGAGCGCCATCACAGTTCTTCAGCATCTAAGAAGAGGTTTCTCCTGACATCCCACCTCAGGCAGCCTCTTTGTAGCTTCCACCATCATTCCTAGTCCTGCTTTCTGGGGCCCTGAAGAATGAGGCTAAATCTCTTCCATGGCATCTGTGAAGCCAGTGATCTTGTGCTTCCCCCCTCCTTAAATCCCACCTGAAATCTCTTCTCTGGACTAGACATCCCCTTGGACTCAGGGCCTTCACCAGCCTGGTTGCCCTCCTCGGGACATTCTTTACTTTGTCAGCATCCTTCTTAAGCTGGGCCTGTCAGGAATGCACACAGTACTTCAGATGTGCTCTGACCAGGGCAGAATACAGTCGGACCATCGCCCTATTCCTGGAAGCTATGCCGTATTATGGCCTACCTGATACTTTATAAATGTTGAATTTAAAGAACCATCGTACTTTTATTTATTTATTTGTTTGTTTGTTTGGATAGGCAATGGGGTTAAGTGACTTGCCCAGGGTCACACAGCTAGTAAGTGTCTGAGGCCAGATTTGAACTCACGTACTCCTGAATTCAGGGCCGGTGCTCTATCCACTGCGCCACCTAGTGGCCCCCAAACACCATACTTAAAAAAAACAAAAACCCAATATCTAAAAACCCTGAGCCTTTGTTCTGGGAAAAGCCCAACAAACTGACTTATGTAGCACTAATTATCATTCTTCTCCCCCCTTCGCCTGATGGCAGCTATCCCAATTGCAGGCAGGGTTCTGGGTAGTCTTGTTTATTACGTGATGCTAAGGTATGACTTTACCTGCCCACCCATCTCCCTGCCTTTCCTTCTCAAATTTGGTTTCCATGACCATAGGAGTAGCCAAACCTGGTCTTGAGTTAAACTAGACAAGCCAAGAGAGTTAGGTAGTCTCTGGGTGAGGTAAGCTGCTGACGTGGGGATCTGGGGATCGGATCTGTGGAGAGGAAGAGAGCAGAGTCCTCTGATTTCTACATCTGTGGGCACCTTGATCTCATGTTTTGTGGTTTGATCAGTCATTTTTCAGTTGTGTTTGACTCCTCTTGACCCCATTTGAGGTTTTCTTGGCAGAGATACTGGACTGGTTTGCCATTTCCTTCTCCAGCTCATTTTATAGAAGAGGAAACTGAGGCAAACAGGATGAAGTGACTTGCCCAGGGTCACATGGCTATTATCTGAGGCCAGATTTGAACTCGGGATGAGGAATCTTCCTGACTCCAGGCCAGGCACTGTATTCAGTATGGCACCACCTAGCTGTCCTTGATCCCATATTTACATATTTATAGTCAAAACAAGTATAACTTGAGGTATAGAGCAGAGGTAAACCCACCGAGGTCCAGGAAGCCTTCTTTTCCTGAAAATTTCATCATCAAATGAAAGACTTCTTGTAAGAGAGCTCCTTTGGGGCTGAATTGAAAGCTTGGTGAAGAAAGTAGCCAGCCTCCTGGCCATGTGGGTAGTGATGGCGGCCTCCTGTCCTGTCCGGCCACCTTGGCCACCTTGGCATCTGATGGCCATGCCCAACCTGGAGCAGCCAACACCCTCCAGATCAGTTCTCCCATCAGACCTTCCCTTGCCTGGGAGAGTTTGGGCTCTTAGTTTGGGAGTTCTGCCAAGGGACTGAGCGTGATTTGATGAGTGAGTGTAACCTTGCCTGCCCAGTCGACCATAACTGGTCAGACCATGGTTCACATCTCTCTGCCCCAACCTCGCTGCCCTGTCTGGATCCTCCCTCCTTACCCCCCTCCTACTTCCTACTCTGAGGACAGTAACAGAATCAATAGTACCATGGCTTCTGGACAGAGGGTGACATACGGCTGCTCCATGACTCAGTCTACTTACTAATCCAGGGACTCCCCAGTATCAGACTCCCTCCCTGGCCCCTATTCCCCTTTATTTAGAATGTGAGCTTTTGGGGAGCAGGGACTTTCTTGTCTCATTTTTCCTGTTTGTATCTCTAGCACTTTGAACAACACCTGGCACGTAGGTGCTTAATAATCATTTTTCATTCATTTATTCATTATACATGTTTTCTTCTATTACCATGCAGGCTATTTGAGAGGTAGGGACTGTATCCATTTTGTGTCTGTATTCACACTGCCTAACATAGCGCCAGGCGCCGAGTAGGCACTTAATAAATGCTCATTCAACATATACTTTGTATATTTCACCTCTACTGCCATTGATCCTTTTCCCATTTCCAGACTAAGATTTTTCCCCCATGCCTCAGAATCCCATGACTCAGGAAATCCCACTTCCCTTTCTTTTCCTTTTTTTCTGGATACTCACTATGTCTAATACAACAAGATTGTTGAACCATAGTGTTTCATTAAGTCTAATTCTAATCTGGGAATTCTGTAAGTTCCAATTTCTTAAATCAAATTAGTGTCATTTTCTTATATCGTTGGGAAAAGAACACTGGATTTAGAGTCAAAGGAAGGTTACTTGTTATCTACCTGTGTGACCTTGGCCCAGTCTCTTGCCATGTCTGGGTATCATCCTCCTCAAATGTCAAATGGAAGAACTGGCTTAGATGGTTTCTCGGGCCCCACCAGCACTACCTCCTGTGAGCCTAAGAAGCATTTTCCCAAGCCTTGGGATGCTAAGGAAGGGCAGAGATCAGAGCAGATCCCAGCACTTCCTAGGAAGGAGACTTGTTAGGTGTTAGTATCAGTAGTGACAAAGCAGGTTGATAGGGTGTTTGTTGCCTGACAACTCCAGGTAAAATGTCTGTACACAGCATTTGTAAATCTGACCGAGGCCTTTGACGCTGTCAGCTGGGAGGACTTGTGGGAAACTATGTCAAAATTTGGTTGCCTGGAGAAGTTCATCAGCATTGTACATCAATGTCATGGTAGCATGCTTGCCCGGATTCTGGATAATGGACAATGTTCTGATGCTTCTCCCGTCACCAGTGGAGTGACACAAGGCGGTGTGCTTGCTCCCATGCATTTTAGCATGCTGTTTTCAGCCATGTTGTCAAATACCTTCAATGAGGATGAACACGACATCAAGGTCAGCTGCTGCACTGACGGTAGATTCTTCAACTTGAAAAGACTACAAGCCAAGACTAAAGTGGAGGGAGTGCTGGTGCGTGACTTTCTGTTTGCAGATGATTGTGCCCTCGATGAAGCCTCTGAAGCCGAGATGCAGCAAAGTATGGATCGATTCTCTGCTGCTTGTGCTCATTTTGGCCTAATAATTAACACTGAGAAAACAGAGATTCTCCATCAGCCACCACCACACCATCTATATGTGGAACCATCAGTTACAGCAAATGGACAAGTTTTGAATGCTATGATTAAGTTCATTTACCTTGGTAGGGTATTTTGCAGGGATGTACACATTGATAATGAGGTTGATGCACGCATTGCCAGAGCTAACTCAGTGTTTGGGAGGCTCCAAAGAAAGTATGGGAGGGAAGAGGTATTAGGCTGCCTACCAGACTGCAGGTCTGTAGAGCCATTGGGCTGACCCATTGCTGTATGCCTGTGAAACCTGGACAGTATATCAGTGCCATGCCAGGGAACTGAATCGCTTCCATTTGAGTTGTTTTAGGAAGATTCTGAAGATCACCTGGCAGGATAAAACACCAGACACTGAGGTCCTTTCTTGAACTAAACTGCCAAGCGTTCAGACTCTGCTTCAGAGAGCGCAACTCTGATAGGCTGGCTACGTTGTTCAAATGCAAAACGAAAGCTTGCCAAACAGACTGTTTTGTGGAGAACTCACACAGGGCAAGCGT